TTTCAATGCTGTTCAAACATTATCAACAGTAATATAGATATTAAATATTTCAAAGTTGTTTAAACAGTAAATACATTATCTATGATAATATGGATATCAAATAGTTCAACGTTGTTTAAACACTAAATACATTATCCATAGTAAAATTGATATCAAATATTTTAATGTTGAATATATAGTAAATACATTATCTATGGTAATATGGATATCAATTATTACACAGTTAATTAAACATTAAATACATTATGCATAGTGACATGGTAATCAAATATTTCAAAGTTGTTTGAGCTGATAGTACATTATCTATAGTAATATGTGTTTCAAATATTTCAATGTTGTACACATCTAAAATTAATATCAATTATATAATTTCAATGTTGTTTGAACAGTAAATACCTTATCTGTAGTAATATGGTAACGCATATTTCAGTGTTATATATATACTGTAAATACATTGTCTGTAGTATCTGGATATCAAACATTTCAATATTGAACACACAGTAAATACATTTTCAATGTTAATATAGGCCATACTGCAATAATTATATTAGTTATAATAATATGTGCATCAGATATTTCAATGTTGTTTAAACAGTAAATACATTGTCTATAGCCATATGGACATCAAACATTTCAATGTTGTTCCAACACTAAATCCACTGAGTATAGCAATATAGTTATCAAATATTTCAATATACAGTGAATACCTTGTGTATAGTAATATTGATATGAAATGTTTTGATATTGTTTGAGCAGAAAATACATGATACATATAGTATTATGGATATTAAATATTTCATTACTGTTCAGCACTAACTGCATTATCCATAGTAAAATAAATATCAAGTGTTTCAATGCTGTACACACAGTAAATGCATGATCCATGGATGGATATCAAATATGGACATCAGATTTTTCAATAGATACATTTCTATAGCAAAGGTAGGTATGCATGGATGTCTAGTATTTAACTATGGACATTGCTTACTATTACTTATTTGTGATTTTCAATACATGTATTGGTATTTCATAATATTCAACAATAAAGACAATGTTAGTAGATAAGGAAGGTATCCATGTATGCGTTCAGTAATACATGATAATCAATAGTTTGTTAGTAATCAAAGGTAGGTATGAGTATCAATTATTTCATGGTAGTCAACAATAAAAGCACTGTCTATTTTAATTTAGTAGGTAAGTGTATAGGTAAGTATACTTTTAATAGCAGGTATTTTAAGGATATTCAAGCAATTAAAAGCATTGTCTATAGGAAATAAGTATTGTATCAAATAGTTAAATGTTGTAAGAACATTAACAATGGTTAGTAATCATATCTATGAATTTGACATTTAATTTCACATCTGATATGTCAAAGTTGTTGAACAACATTAACATGGAAATTAACCAGGTCAGATAGAAACAGGTGCGAGTTTTATATCAAATGTTTCAACCAGCGGTTGCCAGGCAAGATACGCCCACATTTTGCAAGAGATGGATGGAGAACAAGCTAAAAACATAAACGATTTTCGTACAATCAGGGACCATAATCCAGAAAGTTATATTCTGAAATGCGCAAATATCAACAGGGATATAAAGATATATTTTAAGTTTCATCAAAATCGGATAAAAATTGTAACCTCTAGAGGGTCTACAACCTTCGTAATACATACTCTTAGGCCGTGGTGTGAAATTTTTATCTAGCTTGCTTCTGCTTTTCCGTGCCGGCAGGTTTCAAGTGAAAAGAAAAGTACATCACCGTTTGACATGACTTGTATGTCTCGCCTCATACTTCGAGTCTCTTCTTACAAATGGTGCTGAGACGCATTGTGATACACGGTTCTTGTACCAAATGTTTAATTTGTCTTAAATATTGGATATCAGAAGCCCATCTTTTCCCGGTACAATCACAACCTGAATATTGATTTAAATTGACAAATAATTCGTGTTTTCAATGTCAAAGACTTTGGATGATATTGAGTTAGAGACATAACTACTTTAAATGTAGATGTCAATCAATTTTCATATTAAATTTTGTCACTTCATGCTTACTATATGTCTTTATTTTACGTTTTTTTTAAAGTTTCAGTCTTCTGTAAACACTGTTTTGGCATATTTTACGGGGTTAAACTAAACATTACACCAATACAATGTTTATCATGTTTAAGTCAAGGGGTGCCGTATTCATATTTTTTCATGACTTTTACATATCGAATGTTACGCTTGAGTTATGAACAACACAATAAAGAGAGTTTAGTGGGGGAATTTTTATGAGGAGGATCCAAATGAAACAAAACTTGATCACATAAGTTTCAGTCTTCTGTAAACACTGTTTTGGCATATTTTACGGGGTTAAACTAAACATTACACCAATACAATGTTTATCATGTTTAAGTCAGGGGGTGCCGTATTCATATTTTTTCATGACTTTTACATATCGAATGTTACGCTTGAGTTATGAACAACACAATAAAGAGAGTTTAGTGGGGGAATTTTTATGAGGAGGATCCAAATGAAACAAAACTTGATCACATAACTTTAGTTTATGAGGATGCATATTTGACAATCTCCTTGTTAACTACAATACTATATACATATACACATTGACATTTACAAGGAAGTTGTATAGATATTTAAAGTATTTTGTACATTTTGTGTATAATAAATGGATTTAAAAAAGTGAACATAATAGATACGACTCATGATCATACATGCAATTTTCTCTTTATCACGTCATGGTATGCTTACTGAAGAGTGCGTATGCCTTTGAAGTCATGTGGAGCTTGTACACAGATGATGTGTAGTTTGTAAATGACATATGGGATTAATACGTGTTTAATTAGATCATAGCCAATTCGTGCCTTAACAGATAAAATAATATTATATTATGATAATATACACAATAAAGTAACAACGCACACGATATAAACATCATTTCTAAACATTACAAAAAGGAAATTTATACGATCAAAATATAATTTTAAGAAAAAAGTAGCAAACATTTTGTAAATACAAAACGTACTTATATAGAAAAAAATTAACATAGGATTTTGTCATTTTGTTTTTTTACATGAAATAAATGATAATAAATGATTTGAATACATTTTACCAATCTTAAATAAGATTTTTTTCAAAGACCTTAAATAATGTTATATTTAACATAAATCTCTTAATACTTTGTTACTATTCAAATATGTGTTCAAAAAACAAACAATTATAATTTACATTCTTCGAAAAACAAAATGACTTACCCTTCAAAGCAAAAAATAACGCAAATTTTTGCTCCATGCTGTTCCACCGCCATCGCTGTGTAAGTCTTTTGCCATGTTTGTTGATTTTTTCCATTTCCATCCTTGAATTATGAATTTCCATACTGTGTATCTCGTTAAGTACTTCCCACTGTTGTGACGAATAATTTCAAGGTTCACAGTCACGGTATCCATAACTGATACTGTAGCACTATTAGTGATAACAGTAGATCAGTTTAGTAAATCGGAAACTAGACTACGACAGGAACACATATAACTATATTAAATCCACCATTCCGCCCCTCTGCCAAGGCATCGGCTGAACTCGGGTTATGTACCGTCCGGGTGTGTTCCTGTCGTAGTCTAGTTCCCGATGTAGTTTAGTTCCTGTTGTATCTATGTAACTGATATTCTGTTCCGATGTAAATAAATCATATTTTTGCTAAACTGATCTCTGTTACAATAGTGTTGCAAAACACCATCCAACAAATTGCTTATCTCTGCTTATCCAAAGCAGAAAATACAGAAGTTAGAGTTTTATTGAACACACGAGAGAATAATATCGTTGTGGATTTGATATTGTTCTTTTAAACAGTTCTGTTTGTAACACTATGCAGTGCTATGCAGTCGCTGGTTAGATGTGGAAAATATGCGGAGACAACTCCCCACATCCAACGTGTGACGCATACTCTATCTTCTCTTTTACATATTTTAGAACAGCCCTTGTGGTCGTCTGGTATTTTCACCTGTCGTCTTTGCTTCCACTTCACGTTGTGTATTCTCTTCTTATCTATCTCAGTTAGTTTAGACGTTTGTCTGGCCAGGAATGACAATGCAACAGTTCGTTTTTACATTTTATATTTATCATAGCCTGATACATAGATACAAGCATAGTACAATAACAGTAAAGCCACTCTCTCAAAACCCATCCAGCCAGATTCGTTGGGGCGAGTCTGCTGATATAAATTGCTACATCTTTTCCCTTCCAGAACCAAGCTGCTGTCTGACGAATTCTCACAAATATGATAGTTTTGTAGCTTAGGGTTTTGATGTTCAATTATCTAATTGGTCAAATATGATGTAAATAATTAAAGAGATTGGTCAATTAGCCTAATGACGTGGAAATCCGCCCTTATATGGATAGTGGAAACTTACCGGAGAAATTCCCCACAAGCTAAAATTGAATGTTTACCACATTATGAATCTTTTTTATATAACAATCTGTCACTTATTTCACTAATTTGATTTAATTACATATTAAACAATATGTTTGAATCCCACAACTTGCCAAAGACATTAATTAATAGAATATAAGGCCATCATTTCCCTCTATTTCTTGTCTATAAAATTGAAAACAATGTCGCAACGACAATATTTCTACATGTTCAGCGTAACCTATTAACTGGTAAGCAATGCATTTTTTTCAAGATTGTTGATCGAAAACCAAGGTTTGATACTGGACGGCAATTTTTAATTGAACACAATTTGTATTATAGTTCCGGCCGCTAATTTTACATTGAGGAACCACAATCTCAATTAAGATAGTGTTTGCAAGGCTTTAGAAAAAATTTAAGTTTGAGGTCATGGCGTACTAAGTGCTAGAAAATTAAATTTGCTATTTTTATATATATATATTAAAGGAAATACAAATTAACGACCCCCCCCCCCCCTCCACACACCCACACACACACACCCACACACACACCTACAAATTGATAATTGCAACCATTTATCCTGCTATACAGAAGTACTCTCTTATGGTATTCTTTGCTTGTAAAGTATTTTCTTGTACGCCTCTCGAAAGTCCTTATTCTGCCATCCATAAACCAGAAAATTTAAACTTGTATTTAATAAACCTACACAAACTGTAAGGTGAATCGACCACTGTGGTAATGGCGTTTCCTCGGATCGAAATAAACTAAGAATCACACAAAGTGCAGATGGCGACCAACAAATTAAGAACATGGAAAATACAATTAAATAAAGTTTGACAGACTTTCTTGAATTGTTAATAGACATTAAATTGTCGCCAAAATTTATCTCTTGGATTTGGATAGTTCTTCTTTGCTTCACTGTAACACAAATTATGTAACCATAGCAGCTTAATGTAGTTGCAGTTACAAGGAAAAACGATATTATTATTGTTAATTTTTGACCTTTAGTAAGGATCTGGTAAGAAGAACAAACTATATTCTTTGACCAGTTATTTTCAAAAAATAATGCCACGTTTATTGTGAGGCTCAGTACCCAACTTACACATATAACTAAAGCCGCTTTCTTTTTTGTCATCCAGAGTTGATATTTGAATGGAAATCTGACGTTAGCGCATCTGTCAATTGACACGATCGTCATCATCAAAACAGATTCAGATGTTAATGAGAATGCCCACACATAAAATGATATACAAAAGTCCTTATTGTTGAACACAGTTCGTGAATAAGGAATATGAAATAAAACAAATCCCAAGCAAGTAAAAAACGAAAGTAGATCAGTAACAGTTAGACATGCTACATAGATATTTGGTATAGTGTGTAACACCGTTGTTTTGTATATAGCATATAAAGTTAGAGTATTTCCAAATAATATTGTAATGGCTAAACATATTACTATCATTATAAGTATTACTTGCCACGCATGTATATCCATGGCCTAGAGGACAAGAAGAAACTTCACCGGTATACCGGTATGCTCGAGAAGAACTGATCTGAACGAGAACGAGTAGCCTGAACTGGCCATAATCTATTATGATAAACAATTGGTATACCTAATGAATCCTTAAGAAGCAAATTTTAATGTTCCAAGTGATAACAAAACACCCATTAGACAAACAATAAACACTGCGTTATAGGCTATTATAAAAACATTTTGTAATAACGGGTACTATTTAAACCACATAAACAAATTAACAGTTAAAATTGATTACATACAAAATGTAACGAACTTAGACCTTAGCTATTAGACTCAAAGCTTTCGAAATAATTGATTCTAACAAATACTATTTAGAAGTAATTTTTTATGCGCCCACATTTTCACGTGGACATATTCTGCAGTCTACCCTGTCCGTTCGTCCACAATCTACATGTCACAATTTTTATCCGATTTTGACGGAACTTGAAATATAGGTCTATCTCCCAAAGATCTCGGTTCCTTTTGATATTGGCATGCATCGGACCATAACCTCATGGATCATGGTCCCTGATTATACGAAAAATCACGTTTGTGGCTTGTGGACACTCTAGATGTCACATTTTCATATGATTTTGATGAAACTTGAAATACATGTTTATAACCCAAAGATGTTGGATCATTTCTATATTCGCGCATCGTAACTTCCTGAATTATGGCCCTTGATTGTTTGAAAAATCGCGTTTTTAGCTTGTGGCCCCTCTAGTGGTCACAATATTTATCAGATTTAAAAAAAACGTTTGAATATATCACTGTTACACCCTAATGATGGTTGAGTGAAAATCGGATCAAAACTGTCGGATTTTTATGAAACTTTAGATACTTTAAATATATGTTTATATCACGAAGATCTTGGTTCCTGTTGATGATCGCGTATATCCGAACGTAACTTCCTGGTTTTTTTGCTTGTGGAATCCCTAGAAGTGACAATTTGTATTCAACTTTAAGAAAAAAAAAACGTTCACGTATATCACAGTGACACATCAATGAAGGTTGAGTTCGAATTTTGCAAAAATCTGACCGAAACTGTAGAACAAAATGGCCGCTCCTTGTTCGCAAATAGTGTAAAAGTATGTAATACCAAGCAGACACGCTAGAAATCACAATTTTTATTCGATTTTATATCCCGAAGATCTAGGTTCCTGTAAATATTCACGCATATCGGACCGTAACGTCCTGGTTTATGGCCCCTGATTGTACAAAGAATCGCTTCTTGTTTTAGCTTGTTCTCTGTCCATCTCTTGCATGGCAACCGCTTGTTTGCAGAAATGACCATCTTATAAATAACGCCAGGAAAAAATTTAAGCAAGTTCTGGAGTTTATGTGACATGATTCTTAGTGGACTAGAAATAGTCCTGTGATGCCAATTAATATCATTTTAATAATAATAATATGTCCATTATCGTGCTCATAGCGCATTTTGGTGATTAAATTGAAAGTCTGGAGTTTTCTTGGCGATAATTGTTCCATAGCTTTATCGATAGCTTTTTTTAATTTATATTTCATTTCGTCCATCTGTTCCGATCCATTGCATGTACTTAATCAATAACAAAGCTATCTATATTGTCTATTAATCCATCTTGGATAAGTGTTGATTAGTAATTATCTTCCACAGCTCATATTTAAATGTAAACTTGATATAAAAACCGGTCCACCGAACCTACTGAAACACAGTTTGGGTGGTCTACGAAAGTCCTGTCAGTATTGTTAATGGTGTTGGCAAGGGATCAGTATATGTAACCTATGCCTTGGGAGTACGAAATTGTATAGTCACCTGATACTCTGTCTAATCGAAGAGGGATATGTTACATTAAGTAAAATGTCGATGTCTGGTATAACCTACGCCAGCCGAGATCACCTGTTTAAGTCTCCTCCACATTGACTGAATGAGAAGTTGGATCTGAGTCTGCATTAGTCTGTCCCATTGTGAATACAAACAGTGAAAACGGAGATCTCGCATATTTTTCTTTACCTTACAAATTCGGATGTTGCGATACTTTTTCTGTGTGTAGAACGACTTCTCTCATTTGATATTCGCCATATATCCGAGTACCGTAGTGATTTAATTCGAATGACAGACTGCCAGTAACACAGATAGACTTCAATGCGTGCACGAGTTATTTTTCGAACTTGTAATATGTCAAGATCGATTGCCCAAATAATTGACGATCCTCGTTCACATTCTACGTCCCCGGAGAACGCTTGTACACCAAGCTACGTTTACGGGACAAGACCATTTTTAGTGGAATAAGTATTGGGACAAATGCCGCACTGATGAAAGAAATTGTCCCAGTCAGTGCTATGCAAAAAAGCAAAGAAGCGGCGGGGCAATGTCAAGTGAAAATCCCTTTTTGATACTGTCGTAATGCTTATTCTAACACTACGACGATAACTCAGATGAATAGTTAAAATTGTACTTGGAATAAACAACTGTCCAACACTGGCTAACGGTCACAATAACGAGATAGGTATCGATCACCACACTAAAGTTACAATAGAATAAATAAAATATACAAGATTAGGATTAAAATAATTATATGATAATATTTGATAAGAAATATTAAATTGCACATAGGAAGCATAATAGGTTTATATACAGAAGATGATACGGGCATAGCAAGGTCGTGTTAACTATAATTAGTAGTATATATCGTTACATTAAGTATAAGCCCAAACAGTTATGAGACTTGAAAGAATAGTGAGATATCAATCCGGACATTGATCAATTGCTACTTTAACTAAAATTAAATAACAATAAAATATATACAAAGATACACTATACCAATACTATTTGAGAAAATGCATGTAGCACTTGTCGTTAAACATCACAATTGTAACACAAAGCACATGGCGTTCACATTTCAAAATTCAAACAAGCCAAAATAAATAGATGACACATATTCATTAATAGCACATTTATTTTTTTTCAAAAGAATCAAGCAATCAAACTGATTATCAACTACATACTAAGTTTCATCACAGTTATCTTGTCCCAAAGCATCAAATGAAATTGCTTGGCTCTGCTTAGCTTTAGCTAGAAATGTTAATCATTGAACTCGGTCAAGACATTCACCTAATGAACATTTACATCAAGATTAAACATTCTACCTCAATTAAAAGCACAATCGTTATGTTCCAAAGTCTTGACCAATCAAATTGCTTATCGCTACTTAGCCTAAAGCAGTAAATTCTCATCATCGATCTTAATTATCAAAGCATCAACCAATCAGATTGCTTATCTCTGCTTACCGTACGCAGACATTGTTTATCATCGAACTCCATCAATGCATTCACCTATTGAACGCCTACACCAAGTCTGAACATTCTACATCAGTTAGTAGAGTCATTGTGTTCCAAAGTCTCGACCAATTATATTGCTTATCGCTCTGCCTACCCTGAGCAGAAAATGCTCATTATCGAACTTAGTCAAGGTATTGATGTGATAAAACTATACACAAAGTTTCATCACTCTCACTTAATTAGAACTAAATTTATCGTGTCCCAAAGCACCAAACAATCATATTGTTTATCTCTGCTTACCCTAAGCAGAAAATGCTCATCTTCGAACTCCATCAATGCATTGACATAATAAACACCTATTGTGTCCCAAAAAGTGTGACGGACAGACAGACGGACGAACCCATTTTAATAGTCCCCTGCTTTTTGTCGGACGCGGGGTGAGATAACTTCCCTGAATCCCCCTTTGCCCCAATGTTTCAGATTCCTTATGCCCCGTCACAGGGAATTGAGGAACATCATACGCCCACATTAAATGATCTACTTAAAACGTTCTTAGCATTCATTAAGGCACTTATCGCTAATTGACTTTAACTTATATTCATATTATCAGTCTCCATTAGAAACATCTTTAAACCTTTAACAGTGACCAGACTAAGTGACTATTACATACTTCTGCGATTATTCTTTAAAAGGTAGACCCCGCATCCAGTGGCGAAAATGTATTCAATAAATGGGATCGTTAAATGTTGCCGGATGACAGGTGCTTTGAATTGTTAGTTAGAGTAAAGAAGATTATTTCTAGGCGATTGTTGATGTCTAATCTAAAGTTTGTGCAGGACATTTGTGTATGCCCACATTTCAGTGTGGGCTTATTATGTCATCACCCTGTCCGTCGGTCCGTCCGTTAACAATTGGCTTGTGAACGTGAAAGAGGCTACAGTTTTCAGATTTGGGGAGAAACATGTGATTAACCGTTTTGTGACCTTTTGTACCAGAGTTATGCCCCTTTTCCGAAAACCTTGTGAATGCGATGGTGGCTATAGTTTTATCGAAGGATATAGCCGCCAATATTAATTGCTCTGCTCAAATGTCTTTTCCAATGATTAAATGTAAAATATACATATTCCCAATACCGATAATGATAATGTCAAAATACATCAAATGACAATGTCAAATGTAATAAGTCATATGTAAAAAGTAAATTGCAAAAAGACCTAATAGCGATAATGTGGGGAATATCACTCAATTACATTTAATATTTGCGCTTTGTGACATCCCATTTGTCTTGTATGCTTTCTACATGATATTTCCCGTAGCAGTTTCTACTTTGCGTCTGTCTCATAGAAGTTTCTACATGGCATCTTTCCAATAGCAGTAACTTTGATGTGCAAATGATGGATGTCACGTGATAACGGAAACAGCCAATATGCCAACAGACTTTATAGTCCAGACATTTTAACTCCATTTCGCATCTTTTGGGGTAGTTGAATCAATTTCCATACACATTTTGGTGGATAGTTATACTGCGGAGTCAATATTGGGAAATAATTCTAGATGGCGGGAAAATTTGAATTTTAAAAAATGACCAAATTTGGTGTCAAATTGACATTTACGCATATATATTCAGCCTCGTTTTGATATTTTTCCGTAAGTGACGTCGTGACGACTAGTAAGTACTAGTAGTCGGC